GATAGCCTATTAGCTGGAGGGAGGTCGCAGAGGGTGCGTGATGGGGCTTCTGTGAGGAGCAGCCTACTAGCTTCTGTGAGGTGTTCTGGGATAGCCTACTAGCTGGAGGGAGGCCGCAGAGGGTGCGTGATGGGGCTTCTGTGAGGAGCAGCCTACTAGCTTCTGTGAGGTGTTCTGGGATAGCCTACAAGCTGGAGGGAGGTCGCAGAGGGTGCGTGATGGGGCTTCTGTGAGGAGCAGCCTACTAGCTTCTGTGAGGTGTTCTGGGATAGCCTACTAGCTGGAGGGAGGTCGCAGAGGGTGCGTGATGGGGCATCTGTGAGGAGCAGCCTACTAGCTTCTGTGAGGTGTTCTGGGATAGCCTACTAGCTGGAGGGAGGTCGCAGAGGGTGCGTGATGGGGCATCTGTGAGGAGCAGCCTACTAGCTTCTGTGAGGTGTTCTGGGATAGCCTACTAGCTGGAGGGAGGTCGCAGAGGGTGAGTGATGGGGCATCTGTGAGGAGCAGCCTACTAGCTTCTGTGAGGTGTTCTGGGATAGCCTACTAGCTGGAGGGAGGCCGCAGAGGGTGCGTGATGGGGCATCTGTGAGGAGCAGCCTACTAGCTTCTGTGAGGTGTTCTGGGATAGCCTACTAGCTGGAGGGAGGTCGCAGAGGGTGCGTGATGGGGCATCTGTGAGGAGCAGCCTACTAGCTTCTGTGAGGTGTTCTGGGATAGCCTACTAGCTGGAGGGAGGCCGCAGAGGGTGCGTGATGGGGCATCTGTGAGGAGCAGCCTACTAGCTTCTGTGAGGTGTTCTGGGATAGCCTACTAGCTGGAGGGAGGTCGCAGAGGGTGAGTGATGGGGCATCTGTGAGGAGCAGCCTACTAGCTTCTGTGAGGTGTTCTGGGATAGCCTACTAGCTGGAGGGAGGTCGCAGAGGGTGCGTGATGGGGCATCTGTGAGGAGCAGCCTACTAGCTTCTGTGAGGTGTTCTGGGATAGCCTACTAGCTGGAGGGAGGTCGCAGAGGGTGCGTGATGGGGCATCTGTGAGGAGCAGCCTACTAGCTTCTGTGAGGTGTTCTGGGATAGCCTACTAGCTGGAGGGAGGCCGCAGAGGGTGCGTGATGGGGCATCTGTGAGGAGCAGCATACTAGCTTCTGTGAGGTGTTCTGGGATAGCCTACTAGCTGGAGGGAGGTCGCAGAGGGTGAGTGATGGGGCATCTGTGAGGAGCAGCCTACTAGCTTCTGTGAGGTGTTCTGGGATAGCCTACTAGCTGGAGGGAGGTCGCAGAGGGTGCGTGATGGGGCTTCTGTGAGGAGCAGCCTACTAGCTTCTGTGAGGTGTTCTGGGATAGCCTACTAGCTGGAGGGAGGTCGCAGAGGGTGCGTGATGGGGCATCTGTGAGGAGCAGCCTACTAGCTTCTGTGAGGTGTTCTGGGATAGCCTACTAGCTGGAGGGAGGTCGCAGAGGGTGCGTGATGGGGCATCTGTGAGGAGCAGCCTACTAGCTTCTGTGAGGTGTTCTGGGATAGCCTACTAGCTGGAGGGAGGTCGCAGAGGGTGCGTGATGGGGCATCTGTGAGGAGCAGCCTACTAGCTTCTGTGAGGTGTTCTGGGATAGCCTACTAGCTGGAGGGAGGCCGCAGAGGGTGCGTGATGGGGCATCTGTGAGGAGCAGCATACTAGCTTCTGTGAGGTGTTCTGGGATAGCCTACTAGCTGGAGGGAGGTCGCAGAGGGTGAGTGATGGGGCATCTGTGAGGAGCAGCCTACTAGCTTCTGTGAGGTGTTCTGGGATAGCCTACTAGCTGGAGGGAGGTCGCAGAGGGTGCGTGATGGGGCATCTGTGAGGAGCAGCCTACTAGCTTCTGTGAGGTGTTCTGGGATAGCCTACTAGCTGGAGGGAGTGATCAAAGGTCATTCCCCTGGTAACGCCCACCACGCCTCTTTCGCCTCATATTCAGTTGGCATAGCTACACGATGTGTAGCTACAACGCACGTGGGCATACTACGCATTTGGACATGCTGCGCGTTTGGACATACCACGCATTTGGTCCTAATCCGCATTTGGGCATAGGTAGTGGTGGGCATGTCACACAATGTGAGAGGATTTGCCCAGCCCACACAGCTAAACTAGTCACACCAACCCTCTTCTCATCAACACACCAACCCTCCTCTCACCGGCATATCCTTTTGCCCAGGTTGTGGTGCAGACAGAGGCAGGGGAGGGAGAGGCCGATAACCACACACAAGAAGGCTTTCTAGCACTTCCAACCAACCATTATTCTCACCAGCATATCCCCCAACTCACCGGCATATCCTTGTATCGAGGTTGCGGTGTAGAGGCAGGGGAGAGAGGCCGATAACCACAAAGAGAGACGCTGAGATGCGATAAGCGCTGAAATACACAAAGCCCTGTCAGTCAGGGAAGGGGAGAGAGGAGGATGGACAAAGAGGGGTGCGAAGACGCGGTTTGCACTGAAATGCACGAAGCCCTGTCAGGGAAGGGGAGAGAAGCGGAGGAAGAGAAACTCGAGGGAGGTCAGCCGAGAAACGGGCTGCACCATCAGTGACTCCAGTCCGGATATTAATGCGTAAAATGCCGTGCGTACTAATGGTGCACGGCACGGACTGGACGCACGGCATCAGTCCGGATATTAATGCGTAAAATGCCGTGCGTACGCCGAATGCCCTCTCTTCAATGCGCAGTCTGTGGCATAGGAGAGGCGCAGTGCAGATAGCCCCCACTGCCCTCTGCTACCCCTCACTCCCCCCAAGCACGTTGAGTTGACTCAGTCAACTCACCTGCATGCCGAATCCCCTCTTGAATGCGCCGTCTGTGGCATTGGAGAGGCGCAGTGCGGAAATCCTCCCCCGCCCTCTGCCCTCTCTGTTACCCCCCTCACCCAGTTTCAGGTGACCTTTGAGTTGACTCAGTCAACTCCCTCACCCAGTTTCAGTTTTGAGGCGCCTCAAAACTAGACTCCCTCCCCCAGTTTCAGGTGATCTTTGAGTTGACTCAGTCAACTCACCTGCATGCCGAATCCCCTCTTGAATGCGCCGTCTGTGGCATTGGAGAGGCGCAGTGCGGACACCCCCCCCTGCGCTCCCAGCGCCCCACTGCCTTTCCCCCCAAACGCACTCCCCCCTGTCCGCCCTCCGCCTCCAGTGCTGGTTCTTATGTCCACGTCAGCAGCATCGTCAATATCCAGGGTCCCGGAAAAAGTGGGAGCGGTGCTGATTGGTGGAACGGGGGATGAAGGGGGAAGGGGGGAGGGGAGAAATGGAAAAGGGGGGAATATGTCCCCCGGTGGGATCCGCGGAAACGAGGGGGGATCCACGGAAACGAGGGGGGATCCGCGGAAACGAGGGGGGATCCGCGGAAACGAGGGGGGATCCGCGGAAACGAGGGGGGATCCACGGAAACGAGGGGGGATCCGCGGAAACGAGGGGGGATCCGCGGAAACGAGGGGGGATCCGCGGAAACGAGGGGGGATCCGCGGAAACGAGGGGGGATCCGTGACTTTTGAGTCGACTCAAAAGTCACCTCGAAATGGGAAAAGGGGGGAATACGTCCCCCGGTGGGATCCGCGGAAAGAAGTAAAGGGAGGGGGTGAGAAGGGGGGTGGGCGGAGGGGGGGCGTGAAGGTCGGAATGGGAAGAGGGGAGGAAGGAGAGGGGGTAGGATGAGGGGGAGGGTTGGGATACATGAAGATGTAACTGAAACGAGTCAGCCAGTAGCGCGCACCCATAGAGAGTGACGAGGGTGAAGCAGTTGGTGCAGAGCAGAGCGAAAACGAAGAACTTGTTGCGATTGTAACCAGCCGTCGCGTGAGCTTGCGACAGCACCTGCGACAGCTTCATGACCGCCGGCTACTACTCCTGACTCCGTACGCGCTACTAGCTGCAGCGTCTCTGCGAAAAATTCGCCGTCAATAATACTGGCTGTACGCGGTTAGTTAATCGCCGCATTATTCCATACGTACGCCAGTCACCGCTACTACGTGACACGACTGAAAAGGCGGGATTCGTTTTGATGGCGCTCACCGCGCTTACTGCGCTCACTGCGCTCACTGCTTGACCATGCCTTGTTTGGTCACTTGGCGGAGGAATCAGAAACCCCCCTGCTTAAAGCCCGTGTCTACATTTGTGGTTGCTGTTTTCAAATCAGAAACATTTGAAAGAGGGTAACCTAATAAACTGAGCTACTTAGCCGCTAACTCGCCCAATCCCTTCAAAACATTTGAATCCGGCCTCGATCACAATTGTGTACAGATTTGGCTTACCCCAGGATTTCGATCCCCCTCCCCCTCCAATTGCGATTCCCCCTCCCCCTCCAATTGCGATTCCCCCCTCCCCCCTCCAATCGCAATTCCCCCTCCCCCTCCAATTTCGATTCCCCCTCCCCCCTCCAATTGCTATTCCCCACTCCCCCCTCCAATTACGACCCCCCCTCCCGCCTCTCCCCAAATTTCGGTCCCCTCGTCCCCCTCAAATTCCTCTCCCCCCTCCAATCTCGCAACTCTCGCTTCTCGATGCTTGCGAATTCCGCATTCTCTGTCGTCAGTTTTCCAGTTTCGCCTCTCTCGTAAGCCAATCACGCAAAACCAGGCCCACAGATCCTAAAGCTACACCACGAACCCCCTCAAATGTAGTCGCCGGCTTTAAGAAGGGTTCCTGACATATTATTCGTGTTTTCGCACGTTTCTACGTGGTGCTATGGGTTGCTCCAGCGTCAGCTGTGGGGGCATTTGACGACATGTTTGGGTGTGGTGGGGGAAGGTGTGGGGGCATTTGAGGACAGCGTCAGGTGTGGTGGCATCCAGCCCCCTCAACGAATGGCAACCTCAAGCCGATTTGGCAGGCAACCCAAGAAAGTAACCCATTTCAGATATGTACACTTTCGTAAAGTTCTTACTCTGAAACCATGAGTCACCTTTTAGCGAGTATTTTCCACAACCCAGCTCCGTGTCCTGGGCTGCAGCGAGATTATGCAGAGCAGAGCCAGTCCCTAGCCCAGCAGACACCATCTTTCGTCGGCAATACCAAGGCTGGATCTCCCTCGAGGCCCGCTGCGGCGAGTCCCCTGAGGGCCAGCTCGATTCTGCGTCGAAGCTGGCGGTCGCTGGTAGGGTAACCAGGCCCGGCGAAGGAGAACGGTGGATTCGCATATTTGACGAACGTCAGGCTGCTTGTCGTTTCGTCGCTTTTAGTTTCGTTTACGTCGCGTTTGCAAAATCAGCCTCTAGCTGCTAATAAGGAAACCCTTCTCATTGCCCCAGCTCGCCTGCATTCCCGAGTCACGTCCTCGTTTCTAGCCTTCCTCGTTTCTGGCATGCGATATGACTGAAGCCTGATCGGTTTCGTCATTTTCGTAACCTTGCACTAGAAGAGGAAGATTCGTTATCTTTGAAGTTTCTCGGCGGATTCAAACCTCGTCAGGGTCCTTGTCATCCAGCCTGGCCAGCATGACGATATCTTTCCTGTCTCGGCTGCTAGCGTGCTTCCTGATCCTAGCCGTCGGATTGAGCCACGTGGCGGCCATCCGGTTCGAGGTGACGGCGTACAGCAAGTGTCTGGGGGAGGAGGTTCAGGAGGGCACTCTCGTGGTGGCGTCGTACCTGGTGGTGCCGAGCGGGGAGAGCAGCGATCACACCAAGATCACTGTTAAGGTGAGCAAAACGAGCACTTAGTGATGAGTGTTAAGGTGTTCAGAGAGAAGCAGGACGTGGTACTCCCGTGGTGGCGCCTTTCCTGGTGGTGCCGAGCGGGGAGAGCATCGATCACACCAAGATCACTGTTAAGGTGAGCAAAACGAGCACTTAGTGATGAGTGTTAAGGTGTTCAGAGAGAAGCAGGACGTGGTACTCCCGTGGTGGCGCCTTACCTGGTGGTGCCGAGCGGGGAGATCAGCGATCACATCAAGATCACTGTTAAGGTGAGCAAAACGAGCACTTAGTGATGAGTGTTAAGGTGTTCAGAGAGAAGCAGGACGTGGTACTCCCGTGGTGGCGCCTTACCTGGTGGTGCCGATCGGGGAGAGCAGCGATTAAGGTGAGCAAAGCGAGCATTTGGGCGTGGCGTCATGGTGGAGAAGGGAAATCAGGGGGCGGTTCAAGGGGGTACTCTTGTCGTGGTGAGAGCAACGACCACACCAAGATCACGGTTAAGAGTGGGCAAAGCGAGCGCTATGCTCATACTGCTTAGGTGAGGATAAATGTGCGTCCGTGCACAGCATTATACTGAACAATGCAATTCCAGTGCACATAATGGCATGATCTGATTTCCATTGCATGGCATGGCATGGCAGGTGACATCCCACTTTGGACGGCAGCTGCACTGGCAGAGTAGCATGGAGGAGGGGCACTTGGGATTCACGGATTCACACATTGTATTCAATGATGTTGCCGTGATATGTCATGGTTTGGCAGGTGACATCCCCATTTGGCCGGCAGCTGCACTGGCAGAGCAGCGTGGAGGAGGGGCACTTCGGATTCACGGCCAAGGAGTCCGGGCAGTTCATGGCGTGCTTTTGGATGCCGCATGGCACGCCGGGGGAGCACTCTGTCATGGTGAGTAGTGTGTCAGAAGTGAGTGTGTCAGAAGTGAGTGTGTCAGACTCAAAAAATGGTGAACACTCTGTTCTGGTGCGTTAACAGGGACCAAGTGTAATGAGTCTATTTTCCAGTCGACTAAAAAAATGGTGAACACTCTGTTCTGGTGCGCGCTAACAGGGAGCGCGCGATCATGGTATGAGCGTGTGCTTAAAGAAGGCTCGAGGTTCAGCACATTGGACTCACAGCCAAGGAGTATTTTGAGTCGACTCAAAATACACTCTGTTCTGGTGCGCGCTAACAGGGAGCACGCGATGATGGTATGAGCGTGTGGTTAAAGAAGGTTCGAGGTTCAGCACGTGGGATTCACAGCCAAGGAGTCCAGGCAGTTCACAGCGTGCTTCTGGATGCCGCAGGGAACGCCGGGGGAGCACTGCGATATGGTGAGCTAGAAGGGCGCACTCTGTCACGGTGAGTATGTCAGAAGTGAGTATGTCAGAAGTGAGTATGTCAGAAGTGAGTATGTCAGAAGTGAGTATGCTGAGCTGAGTTGACTCAAGGGTGCGATGCCGAGAGTCCGGGCAGTTCATGGCGGCGTGCTTCTGGATGCCGCACGGCATGTGGTGACTTTTGAATTGACTCAAAAGTCGCACGGCACGCCTGGGTAGAACTCCTTTGTAGTAACCTAAAAAGGATGTAGTATGTGTGTAGCTCCATTGTAGCATGTGGAGTCTACTCAAGGTGTTTTTGAGAATTCTCAAAGACACATTGAGTCCACTCAAGATTCACATCGTATCTGGACAAAGTACACGGTTACTTTGCAACTACTCCACCACACTGCGCAGTACACTTCCTGTTGTAGCAAACACCATGACCCCCAGTTGAGGCACAGATAGCTGGGGCAGGCGACTTCTGATTGTATCTCCTAGTTACCTTTTTTTTTTTTTTTGAGGCGCCTCAAAAATCATCTCCTAGTCACCTGATGGACCGACTCTCGGGCCCCTCACCAGTCTCCAGATTGAGCCTTGAGGTGGACTGTGCACCGAATCATCATGCTCCAGAAACATCATGCTCTGGGCACTGAGGTGGATCTGGAGTGGCAGCCAGGCGTGGTGGCAGCTACTTGTGGTAAATGGACTGCGAAACTCTCATCATGCCATCCGTTTGATGGCATCATCATCATCACATGGGAATATTGACTGCGCTAAGGCCTGGGAATACTGGCCTGCAACTCAGAGTGCGCTCTCTGGCTGCCCCGTCATCATCATCACGTGGTGCCTATCTCCTTCTCCCCAATCCAGGTGGACCTGGAGTGGCGGTCAGGCGTGGCAGGTATGGACTGGATGGCCTCAGTCTGGCTATCCAGTCCAGTCATCTGAGAAGCCAAACAGCTTACCCCATCCACAAGCTGACTCACAAATACCCTCACTCCACAATGGATGCCGTTTCTGCCCCAATCAGGTGGATCTGGAGTGGCGGTCAGGCGTGGCGGCTAAAGATTGGGCGAGCATTGCGAAGAAAGAGAAGATCGATGTGAGTAGCAGCTAACGGCTAACGGCGGAGCAGCAGACAGCTAACGGCACCGCGGCTTTGCTCTTCAGCACCGCGGCTAACAGCTTTGCTCTTCTGCTGAACGTCAATGTTTTGCGCTTCACCAATCGTACCACCGTTTTGCTCGCCTTTTGTTATAACATGCTACTGGAGCACCTTATAGAGAGTATGCACTGCATGCGCAACTCCCCTTGTTATGTTCGCATTTCGACTGATGTTCTTCATTGGCGTCATGCCCCAACATATGGCTGTGTGTGGCATGGGAAACACGTATGCCTGGCTGGCGTTTGTCGTGTCATGGCATGGCATGGCATGGTATACCATATGGTATAACTTCCCTTTTTATGGCATGCTGATTGCACAACAGGGCATGGGGTTGGAGCTGAGGAAGTTGGATGAGGCAGTGAGGGCCATCCGAGATGAAATGACCTACTTCAGGGGGAGGTGAGGCGCTGGGAAGGTGGGATGCTGGGGAGGTGAGACGCCGGGAAGGTGGGATGCTGGGGAGGTGAGGCGTTGGTCAGTTGGGATACTGGGAATGCAGACAAGGTTCTGAAGGATTGTGAACGCACTGGAACTGGATGAGGCAGTTATGGGGGTCCGAGATGAGACGACAGTTTGAGGGTGAGGTGGAATGCTGCGAAGGCGGGATGCTGGGAAGGTGGGATACTGGGGAGGTGGGATTCTGGGGAGGTAGACAGTTTTGAAAGTGTCTCAGACACGGAATTTTGATGAGGTTGAGATGACCTACTTCAGGGCGAGGTGGGATACAGGGCAGGTGAGATACAGGGCAGGTGGGATGCTGGGAGCAACATGCTGGTCAGTTGGATTACTTGGGGGGTATAAAACGTTTGGAAGAAGAGGGTGGAATCCCGACCCATGTAAGTAAGTCTGTTAAACTGTGCCAACCTGCCAGCATCAGCTGACAATGGCTCGACAATATCAAAGCATTCTGCCCCCCCCCCCGTCACTTTAGCTAACCCCCCTGCTGCCATGCCCTTCCCATCCCATTCCTCAACTCGTCTCCTCCTCTCATGTTCCTCCTCTTTGTCGTTCCATGCATTTCTTTCAATACAGGGAAGCGGAGATCCGGGATTCAAACGAGCGGACCAATGAGCGGGTGGCCTTCATTAGTATCACATCGCTCCTCATCTGTGTGGCCCTAGCAGCTCTCCAGCTCTGGTTCCTCCTCTCCTACTTCCACCGCAAAAAGCTGCTCTAAGTGGGCTTTAAGGTCTCTAACGCCGAACAGCCCTCCAGCTCTGGTTCCGCCTCTCCTACTTCCACCGCAAAAGGCTGTTCTAAGTGGGCTTTGAGCTGCTCTGAGGGGCTTTAAGACCTCTGAAGCTAATCAGCCTTCCAGCTCTGGTTCCTCTCCTACTTCCACAGCAAAAAGTTGCTCTGAGGGATTTCTAAGCCCTCCTCAGAACTCTAAGACTATACCCTTAACTCAAACAGCTCAACAGCCAAACAGTCAAACAGCCTTCGAGCTTTGGTTCCTCCTCTCCTGCTTCCATTGCAACAAGATGCTCTACTGAATCATAGAAGGCCCTTATGCTTCTAGAAGCTGTCTATGGGGAGGAAAAGTTTGTGTTGTAGAATAATCTAGGTGGTGTAGTCTTCTGAAGCGTGCACATCAACTCGCAATAGAGATGTACCATCCGTATATCGAGCAGAGCAGATTTCTTTTATCAACATTCTCCTAGTTATTGGTTATGGTGCGATAACTGTAGAGTTTCGAAGTTGATTTCTCTTCCTCTTGTAGCTATACCTCCCTCGTGCTATCTGGAGTCTCTGGTCTTATAGCGGAGGCTTCGCGAAAACATCTACATTCCATCTTCTGCAGAAACGCAGGCAACCTGGTTAGCGTACGCGCGTGTGATCCTATCCCTTAGTACACGTATTGTAGGTAGGTTGCTAACGGGTTCCTCCTGTAGCGCCCCCACTAAGCAGTCGCGCCGAGCCCTGTTCGCCGCACGCGCACCTCGTGCGGCCGCCACCGAACGATCAACCCGCCGCATTGACCTCGTGAGGCCGCCACCGCATTGACCTCGTGAGGCCGCCACCGCATTCACCCATTTCCGAAGCTCGGCCGCAGTCTCGCCTTCGCGATGGGCTCGATGGCGCTATCGCGGGGCGCCGTCAGATGGTCCGTCGCGCCGCTGCTAGCTCCATCGCGATCCAGCGTTGCTCGCTTCGTCACATCGCGTTTAGCCCATGCGCCGGTCGCGGCATCGCGGCCATCGGGCCTCGCCACGAGCCACCGGAGCCTCCCCTCTCAGTTTCTCGGCGATTCCGCCGGCACGAGCTCGTTCGGGTCTGCTGTACGGCTTAACGCGGTATGATACTATTGGGTATGGCACTATGGGTTATGACACTATGGGTTATGACACTATGGGTTATGACACTATGGGGTATGACACTATGAGGTATGACACTATGGGGTATGACACTATGGGGTGCGACACTATGGGATATGACACTATGGGTTATGACACTATGGGGTATGACACTATGGGGTATGACACTATGGGGTGCGACACTATGGGGTATGACACTATGGGGTATGACACTATGGGGTGTGACACTATGGGGTATGACACTATGGGCTATGACTCTATGGGCTATGACACTATGGGGTGCGACACTATGGGGTATGACACTATGGGGTATGACACTATGGGGTATGACATTATGGGTTATGAAACTATGGGGTAGGACACTTTGGGGTATGACACTATGGGTTGTGACACTATGGGGTATTACACTATGGGTTATGACACTATGGGGTATTACGCTCTGGGGTGTGACACTATGGGGTATGACACTATGGGTTTTGACACTATGGGGTATGACACTATGGAGTATTACACTATGGGTTATGACACTTTGGGGTATTACACTATGGGGTGTGACACTATGGGGTATGACAGTATGGGTTATGAAACTATGGGTTATGACACTATGGGTTATGACACTATGGGGTAGGACACTTTGGGGTATGACACTATGGGTTGTGACACTATGGGGTATTACACTATGGGTTATGACACTATGGGGTATTACACTCTGGGGTGTGACACTATGGGGTATGACACTATGGGTTTTGACACTATGGGTTATGACACTATGGGGTATGACACTATGGGGTATGACACTATGGGTTATGACACTCATGGGGTATGACACTATGGGGTGTGACACTATGGGGTATGACACTATGGGGTGTGACACTATGGGGTATGACACTATGGGTTATGACACTATGGGGTATGACACTATGGGTTATGACACTATGGGGTATGACACTATGGAGTATTACACTATGGGTTATGACACTTCGGGGTATTACACTATGGGGTGTGACACTATGGGGTATGACACTATGGGATGTGAAACTATGGGGTAGGACACTTTGGGGTATGACACTATGGGTTGTGACACTATGGGGTATTACACTATGGGTTATGACACTATGGGGTATTACACTCTGGGGTGTGACACTATGGGGTATGACACTATGGGTTTTGACACTATGGGTTATGACACTATGGGGTATGACACTATGGGGTATGACACTATGGGGTATGACACTATGGGTTATGACACTCATGGGGTATGACACTATGGGGTGAGACACTATGGGGTATGACACTATGGGGTATGACACTATGGGGTATGACACTATGGGGTATGAGACTATGGGTTATGACACTTATGGAGTATGATACTATGGGGTGTGGCGCTATGGGGTATGACACTATGGGTTATGACACTATGGGGTATGACACTATGGGGTATGACACTATGGGGTATGACACTATGGGATGTGACACTATGGGGTATGACACTGTGGGTTATGACACTCATGGGGTATGACACTATGGGGTGTGACACTATGGGGTATGACACTATGGGGTGTGACACTATGGGGTATGACACTATGGGTTATGACACTATGGGGTGTGACACTATGGGGTATGACACTATGGGTTATGACACTATGGGGTATGACACTATGGGGTATGACACTATGGGGTATGAGACTATGGGGTATGACACTTATGGAGTATGATACTATGGGGTGTGGCGCTATGGGGTATGACACTATGGGTTATGACACTATGGGGTATGACACTATGGGGTATGACACTATGGGGTATGACACTATGGGATGTGACACTATGGGGTATGACACTGTGGGTTATGACACTCATGGGGTATGACACTATGGGGTGTGACACTATGGGGTATGACACTATGGGGTGTGACACTATGGGGTATGACACTATGGGTTATGACACTATGGGGTGTGACACTATGGGGTATGACACTATGGGTTATGACACTATGGGGTATGACACTATGGGGTATGACACTATGGGGTCTGACACTTTGGGGTATGACACTATGCGGTGTGACACTATGGGGTATGACACTATGGGTTATGACACTATGGGGTATGACACTATGGGGTATGAGACTATGGGTTATGACACTTATGGAGTATGATACTATGGGGTGTGGCGCTATGGGGTATGACACTATGGGTTATGACACTATGGGGTATGACACTATGGGGTATGACACTATGGGGTATGACACTATGGGATGTGACACTATGGGGTATGACACTGTGGGTTATGACACTCATGGGGTATGACACTATGGGGTGTGACACTATGGGGTATGACACTATGGGGTGTGACACTATGGGGTATGACACTATGGGTTATGACACTATGGGGTGTGACACTATGGGGTATGACACTATGGGTTATGACACTATGGGGTATGACACTATGGGGTATGACACTATGGGGTATGACACTATGGGGTATGACACTATGGGGTATGAGACTATGGGTTATGACACTATGGGGTATGACACTATGGGGTGTGACACTATGGGGTATGACACTATGGGTTATGACACTATGGGGTATGACACTATGGATTATGAAACTATGGGGTCTGACACTTTGGGGTATGACACTATGCGGTGTGACACTATGGGGTATGACACTATGGGTTATGACACTATGGGGTATGACACTACGGGTTATGACACTATGGGGTATGACACTACGGGTTATGACACTATGGGTTATGACACTATGGGGTGTGACACTATGGGTTATGACACTATGGGGTATGACACTATGGGGTATGAAACTATGGGGTCTGACACTTTGGGGTATGACACTATGCGGTGTGACACTATGGGGTATGACACTATGGGTTATGACACTATGGGGTATGACACTACGGGTTATGACACTACGGGTTATGACACTATGGGGTATGACACTACGGGTTATGACACTATGGGTTATGACACTATGGGTTATGACACTACGGGTTATGACACTATGGGGTGTGACACTATGGGTTATGACACTACGGGTTATGACACTATGGGGTATGACATTATGGGTTATGAGACTATGGGTTATGACAATGCGGTATGGGTGAACACCGTCTGACAAGGTATGGTTTTCTTCGGCATCGGTGCATGAGGTGTGGCTTGCCTTGGTGTGCTGTGACGAAAAAGGCTGGATCAGTAGGGTTCTATTTCTCCCTCATCCATAGGATGTGTTTTGTTTTTTAGAATTCTCAAAGACTGGATTAGTGGGGTTCTATTTCTCCCTCATCCATTGCCTCTCTTCCCATCCACACCCCTCCCTCCCAGAGTTCATACCTCTGCATCCCTCTGTACGCCTGAGCTTCTCTTCGTTTGCCATGCACCCATACGCACCGCTGTGCACCGCTGTGCACCTCTGTGTTTACGTGTGAACCCCTCTGCACCCCTCTGTACTTCTGTGCTTGTCTGTTTATGCCTCACGCCGCTCTTGGGTCTCATCCCTTCATGGGGTTTTCCCTACCTTTGCTCGGCTCCGCTCCTTGACTGTATGGGGTCTCATCTCATCACATCACTTTATGGGGCTTTCCCTACCTTTTCCCTACCTTTGCTCGTCTCCGCTCCTTGACTGTATGGGGTCTCATCTCATCACATCACTTTATGGGGCTTTCCCTACCTTTTCCCTACCTTTGCTCGTCTCCACTCCTTGACTGCATCGCAGGGGCAGGACCTAACACACATCCCAACCGGCCACAGAAACGCTCCGATCCTCCCCAAAATAGAGGCAGCAGGGTGGTCACGCAAAGCAGGAGGCAAGTCAGGGGGGGGCAACAGCAGCAAAGCAGCCAAACCCAAGGCGAAGTCGTGGAAGGAACGGCACGAGAAGTTCGTAAAGCCGTTCATCCTCGATGTCTACATCTCCAAGCGTTACGTGAGCGCTAAGGTTATGCATAGGGTTACCAGCCGGGTGGTTTCAGTAGCCACTACAAGTGCGAAGGACCTGCGGCTGTCGCTGCCGTCCTTGGTGGATGAGAATGCGTGCCGGGTGATTGGGAGACTGATCGCTGAGAGATCGAAGGATGTAGACGTGTTTGCGGTGGTGTTTAGGTTGAAGAAAGGGCAGAAGTATGAAGGGAAGCTGGCTACTGTGGTGGATACGATGGTGGACGAAGGGGGAATCATGCTACTGTAGTCCTTGGCTGATTACCGTTGCTTATATAGTGGCATGCACCAGATGCACTAAGGAGGAAAGCCGTGTACTGTGGTAAAGCTGCAAAAAAGAGTGCAAAGAAGAGGAGTGCAAAAAAGAGGAGTGCAAGAAAAGGGAGTGCGAAAAAGGGGAGTGCAAGTCTGTCATGATGTATCCATGTACATGATGTTCCACAGTGAATCCAGAAGCTTATCAACATCCAGCCACCAGCACTCTCTGATCTCCAGGCTCAAACTACCATGGGAACACGCAACCACCAAGCATGACACGATTCAAGCTTGTCACGAAATATCAACCCGCATGATGACCCAGAGTGAATCCGGAAGCTTATTAGCTTTCAGCCGCCAGCATTCTCTGATTTCTATCCTCCTCAAACTACGGGACAACCTTCCAATATCATCCGGCAGTGCAGCCAAGCTGCTGCAGCAAACAATAGAGAGTCGCTCTATAAGGGGGATCTGTGTTAAAGAAGATGGAAGTTCCTCTAACGAGGGGAGGAAATGGAGCAGGAGCGCCTGTAGGGAAGGGAAATAGGGAGCTGTGGATTCGGGAAGCGACTTGAGTGATTTGCACCGGCGAATAGAGAGCGTTTTGAGAGAAGGGAGGAGGGCAAGAGAGGGGGGCAGGGAGGCGATAGCTGGGCAGGTATCGAGTGTGAGAGAGTGGAGAGAGGAGAGGAGGTGGAGGGAGGAAGGTAGGGAGGCGAGATGCGGCAAGTTGGAGAGTGAGAGGTGGTGAAGGGAGGAGAGGGAGGTGAGGGAGGAGGGAAGCTGTGTGAGATTCCGACAGAGGTCAAAATGCAGGAGGTGCAATGTGCCGTGTGAGGAGAGAGCGGAGAACACAGCGTCAGGGAATGAGATAAAGGCCGAAGAATCACAAGCCCTGTTGAGAGGCTGAGTCACAGGGCCAGCTGTAATTTCCCCCCATGGGTAGGATCCTTGGAGTGTGAGTGACTGTAATGAAGGGAAAGGGGCCATAGGAGGGAGAATGGCTTGGTTTCCATTCACCACGACTGGCAACACCACCACGATTGCTTTCTTCAGCTGCCCGATTCCTTCTGGTAGGCGCTCCAGACTGGGGAGATTGGCCAGGTGAAGAGTTTTCAGCTCGGGCAGCTGCCCGAGATCGTCAGGAAGCAGCTTCAGGCTGCCCATGCCAGAAACCTCGAGGTGCTGGAGACGGCACAAGGCAGAGACGGACGCTGGGAGGTGGATCGAGCAGCAGCCTTGCAGAGTCAACCGTCGAAGGGAGTTGAGGAGCCCAAGCGACTCCGGGACCCTGAAGAGGCCTGGAAACCCGATCACTTTAAGCGAGGTCAAGGAGTGGAGGCGGCTGGTTTGGTCGGGGAGGCGAAAGGGGAAAGGAGGAGGGGGAGGGAGAGGAGTGGAGGATGCGGAGGGGTAGGGAGGGGAGGTAGGTGAAGTAAATGGATGCACAGCAATATCCGTCTCCTTTCCACCCATCCACTGGGCTCCTGGTGCTCCCTCCTCCTCCCCTTCCTCCTCCTGCTCCTCCCCTTCCTCTTCCTTCTCCTCCTCCTCTTCCTCTGCACACTCCCCAACAACCTCCCCTTCCTCCTCCTCCATTCCTTTCACCCCCACACCCTCAGCACCCTCATCAACATTTCTCATCGCCAGTCCTTCGCCCCCCTCACTGTGACTATACAGGCTGTCACTATATCGAAGCACTATCCTCTGCAGCTGCGGCAGTAGGCAGAGCCCTTCAGGAAGCTGCGTTATAAGCTGGCAGTTGACTATAACGAGGGAGTGGAGGGTGGAGAGGTGGGCAAGGCCGTCTGGCAGCTCCTTTAATCGAGGGCATGTGACTAAAACGAGGGAGCGGAGAGAGGAGAGGCGGGAAAGCCCCTGGGGGAGGGAGGAGAGGCAGGGGCAGTGGCGTATGGAGATGTGATGAAGAGATAAGAGGGAGGGGAGGGGGGAGAGTGCTGGTGATGATGGTATTGGTAGTGGGGGTGGCGATGGCATGGCCGTTGCATCTGGGCATGGTAGGGACAGAAATTTCAGCTTGGGACACCTCGTGACGGTCAGTTGCTGCAAATTTTCCAGCTGCCCGAGAGACACGGGCAGGCTGACAAGCCCTTCCATGGAGTGGATCTTCAGAATTTTCAGCTCCAGCAGCAGACCGATATCCTCGGGCAGGCTGTCCATGCCAGGGCAGCTGATATCGAGACGCGTGAGGGATGAGAGGAGGCGGAAGGAGGGGGGGAGAACGTGGAATGAGTCAGACAGGCATAGCCCCAGAGACTGTAGGTTTGGTAGATGTACAGTGCTTGGGGGGAGGGCAGTAAGAGAGGGGAGGGAAGATAGGTGAAAGTGAGTGAGGGAGGTTAGGCAATGGAGGGAAGGAGGAAGGGAGGAGAGATGGCCACAATCCTCGATCTGTAGCCATGTTAGGGTGTGAAGATCGCAGAAAGAGTCGGGCAGCTGAAAAAGATTCTGACACCCGGTGATGTGAATGAGTTCCAGTGAGCCGAGCTGCGCAAAAAGAGGCGGCAAGCATTGCAGCGTCTGACAGCAGACACGCATCTCCCGGAGATTTTTCAGATGCCCGATGTTGACGGGCAGGAACTCCAAGCTTGGAGCAAGGATCCTGAGCACTTGGAGGGATGTAAGGCTTTCTGACATGACCTCGGGCAGTCTAGTAAGGCTCATAGATGATACGTCTAGGGTTTCAAGACGCGTTAGGGTGGAGATGGAGGGAGGAATCGAGTTGATGTACTGCGCGCAATGCAAAAGAAGATGCTCTAATCGCGTACAGCTTCTGAATAACACGTCTACTGCTTGCTCTGTAATTCCGGGCAGATGGTTTCTTTGGTCCTCCCGGTGCTCATCCCCAGTCTGACGTGTCAGACACAGTTGACTCCGTTGACCTCGCTGTCCGCTACAAGCAGCTTCTTCAATCGCGTACAGGGACAGGGTAACCAACTTGCTACAGTGTCTTCCGATTGCTTCGATAAAAGCGTCATCGATAAAGTCGAGGCTCTCCCGTTCGAGATGCAGACGGGTGAGACTAGGATAACGCGAGAGCGACCGCATGAGGCGGCGGGAGGAGGTGGCAGAACCGGATGTGACTGTAACGGAGGATAGCTCGAGCAGCGCGAGGCGGCGCCATCGCTTACAGACAACCGCGTGGTTGAGCGACGCGGAGTCGCCGAAGGAAGCCGACCGTTGCGGCGCGGCGGTGCTAGGAGCATAGTAACGCGCGTGGTTCAGCGGGTCGGCGCGGGAAGCCAAGAAGCGGAAAACGAGGCGCAGATGATCGTCTGTGAGGCGATTGGCTGGACTAGTGAGCGCGTCGCAGGCTATCTCATCCATGCTCGCGATTGGCCCGTCGAAAAAGTAGGCACGGAACCGACCCGTAACACACACAAGTAATAAGAACGGAAATACGACGAGGAAGTTTGACGTGGGGAACGGCTAGTGAGTGAAACACCGACATGGATTTTATGAGAAGAACTGGCGAGCCAAGACGCCAGGGATGGAGCTATGAGTGATGGCCAAACGAAACCCCATGGTTCACGAAGGCAGCACAGGAAGCGTGGTATCTCAGATTTCGCAAATCCAGCAACGAAACTGAAACGCCAATGACGTCGCAGGGTTATCTGCGAATTCATGTTGCGCGACGTCAGTCGCGAAGAAGCCCCGGGTAACATGCCGAAAGCTCGAGGCGAATTCAACATTTCGCGGATGGAAGCGAAACCAGGATCAAACAAATGAAGCAAAATGCCGTCTGTTCAGGGCCGTGCCAAATTCATTATACCTCTTAACCTTACCCAACCGTTTTACATTCCTAGTGAAATGCGCATAAACATGAAGCACCTACTTCAACCGCATTGAACTGAACTCGTATGGCACACCGTTTACACACCACGCTCCTGCCAAATTCACGTACTACACAGTGAATTTGGGACTAGATTCTTCTGGAGTCTAGGGATCCATACTTAGTTGTCCTACCTCTCTCGTTCCTCATTCGCTCCTCCCCGCAATTCCCCCTTCGTGCGCTTTCTTTCCACCTCTGTATCCGTCTACTGAAGGAGCGAAAGCAAAGGCCTATAAGCGTTTGTGTTTGTCCTCCCGCCGCTCCCATGGCGCGTAGCGCCCCTCGAGCAGCTCGTCTCACCGCGTCGCACCCTCGTTTGCTTCTGGCGCTCGCTTCGCTCTTCGCTTTACTCCCCGCGACTCGCTTCGGGTGCCATGCCTGGGGCCACGACGGGCACGCGTTCACGTGCGCCGTCGCTCAGGTGAGGTTGCTTCGACGTATGGAATGAGTATGCTTACTCGAAATTCGCATGCGCGATCGCTCAAGTGAGGCTTTTGAAAAGGAATGCTGCATAGCAACTCGGATTCACGTGCCCTATTGCTCAGGCAAGGTTCTTTAAACGAATGGAGTGATGTATACCTACTTGGATTCTTGTAGCGACCAACATACTATTTGAGGAGTAATTTAAGGAGTATGCTCGTGTTACGGCGGCCACGCATTCAAACTCGCCGTCGACAAGGATTTATTCGTGGCTGCGTGGCAATACCGTATTGGTTTCTGAGATTTCTACAAAAAAAAACAATGTGGATGCGTGGCAAGACCTTGTCCGCAATGGCGTCTGGCTAAAGCCCCCCAAAAGAAAGAGAGAAAGAAGAAAAGAAACGGCGTCTGCCTTGCCATCTTCTTGGCTCCTCCTCGCGCCTTCTCGACAGACGATGCTGTGTGCGGCTTTTGAGAATTCTCAAAAGCCTAACCCTGCCTTGCCATACGCTCTGTTCCTCGTCCCGCCTTCTCGACAGACGATGCAGCAGCAGCGGTGGCCCCGCTGCTCCCCCGCAGCGCCAAAAGCAGTCACCCTGTCGTGTGCTCGTGGACGGATCAGGCCTTTTCTCTCCCCACCACATCCATGCATCCATGGCTCCCCCGCCCTCCCACACACTCTGCAGGCTCTGCTGACGGAATTCAGAGGTGCCTTACAAGCACCTCACGCCTTGCCCGCTGTATTCATTCTCCCCTCACTGCATAGAAACATGCTCCCACGCCCACCCACACAGGCCGCATGCTCTGGTGACGCAGCAGCAGCAGTGGCGGCGCTGCTTCGCCCCAGCACTGTGTTTTCACTGTCTGCTCGTGGGCTGATCAGGCCTTCCCATGCCCCCCTCCCCCCCGCCCCCAATTCCCCCCCTCACCCTTCAATTCCCCCCCCTATCCATGCCCCCTGCTAGGGGCAGTCTCCCTGCTGTGTGCTCGTGGGCTGATCGGGCCTTCCCATGCCCCCTTACCCCCCCCATTTCCCGCCTCTATCCAGGCTCTGCTGTCTGACGAGGCAGCAGCAGCAGTGGCGGCTCTTCTCCCTCTCAGCGCCAAGGGCAGTCTCCCTGCCGTGTGCTCATGGCCCGATGTCATCGGGCACACCAAGGGATGGGCGTGGTCCAGGCCGCTGCACTTCATTGACACGCCGGACTTTGCATGCTCCTATGATGAAACCCGTTAGTCAAAATCAGAGGTACCTTGAGGTGCGGTGCGGTACGGCCACACCACAGGATTGGCGCACCACACCACTAGGTGACTTTTGAGTTGACTCAAAAGGCACCTTATCCCATGGCATCCCCTCCCATTCTTTTGAGTCGACTCAAAAGTCACCAGTGGTCCAGGCCTCTGCACTTCACCGACACGCCTGACTTCGCGTGTTCCTATGCCGTGATGAAACCCGTGAGTGAGGTCGACTTGAAGGTGCTCCCGAGGTAATTAATCACGACGTCAGTCTCCCTGCAGTGTGATAGCGATGGGCGCGGTCCAGGCCTCTGCCCTTCTTTGCCCGCCGGACTTCGCATGCTCCTATGATGAAACCCGTGAGTCAAAATCAGAGGTACCTTGAGGTGCGGTGCGGTACGGCCACAGCCACACCACAGGATGGGCGTGGTCCAGCAGGCCCCTGCACTTCATTGCTGCGCCTGACTTCGCATGCTCCTGTGATGATCATGAAACTCGTGACCCAAGGTAACCCCAAGGTAACACCAAGGGGGGTCAAAGGTGCTCCCATCCCAACGTATTGCCAAGGTGCTCCCAGGGCAGTCTCTTGGCTACCCTTGAGGTGCGCCAACGGTAGTCTCACTGCCATGCGCTTGTGGGCTGATGCCATCTGGCCCGGTATGCTTCTGGCCCATGTGCGTGACCAATGCAATCTTCAACTATGCTTCCCAGCTTCTTTTGAGGCGCCTCAAAAGGCTCTTCTCTCACTATAACATGTCTCCCTCCCCCCCGCCCCCCCTCCCCCGCGCCCACCCTTCCTCCCCCGCCCCCTCCACGGCTGCCTCCCCTCTCCTTTTTTGAGGCGCCTCATTTTTGAGGCGCCTCAAAACAAGACTTTTTTGAGGCGCCTCAAAAATAGACTCCTCGCGCCCACCCTTCCTCCCCTGCCCTCTCCACGGCTGCCTCCCCTCTCCTCTCCAGGCCACTGTGCCTTCGCCCACCATCTCGGTGTCTGCATTGCCAATGCTATCCTCAACTACACTTCCCAGCTCCTCACCTACTGCTCCTTCCATCTCTCCCTCTCCCTTCCTCTTCCCCTCCAGGTGACTGTGCCTTTGCCCACCACCCGGGAGTCTGTGTTGCCAATGCCATCCTCAACTACACCTCCCAGCTCCTCTCTTACTCGCCCCAGGTGATTTTTGAGTCGACTCAAAAATCCACCCACTCCCCCTCCCACCTCCTCTCCTACCCCCGCCGCTCCTCACCCCTATCCGCCTCCTCCCACCCCACTGAACCTCTTAATTTCTCCCCCCCTTCCCTCACCGCTTCCTCCCGTCGAAGCCTCATGAGGGGGTTTTATGAGGTGGGAGGGCTGGCGCTGGGGGGAGGTAGGGGGGAGGCGGAAAGGGAGGAGGGAGAATGGGAGGAGGGAGGAGAAGGGAGAGAAAAGGAGGAGGGAGGTGAAGGGAGAGAAGGGGAGGAGGGAGGGGAAGGGGAGGAGGAGATGGTGCGGGTCGTGAAGGCAGTGGTAGGGGAAGGTGTGAGGAGTGCTGCTCATGCCTCCCTTGTTGCTCCCGACATTGCTGCGACTGCTGCTGCTGCTGCTGCTGCCGCCTCTGCTACTCTTGTTGGTGCTGCTGCTGCTAGTGAGCACGGAGCACCAGGTGCAGGGTCCATAAGGCGCTACAATCTGACCGAAGCACTCATGTTCCTGGCGCACTTTGCAGGAGACATACATCAGGTAATATTGGGAATAGATGGTAATATTGGTAATATTGGTAATGTACTGTGATTCTGCTGCTGCTATGCTAGTGAGCAAGTAGCGCCGGGTGCAGGGTCCCTTAGACGCCACGCTCTGACGAAGTCGCTCTGTTCCTGGCGCACTTTGCAGGTAATACTGATAAGACTCAAAAGTTCCTGGCGCACTTTGCAGGTAGTACTGATAAGACTCAAAAGTTCCTGGCGCACTTTGCAGGTAACTTTTGAGTCGACTCAAAAGTTCCTGCTGCACTTTGCAGGTAATACTAATAAGGGTAGAGGAATGGATGGTAGTGTGGGGATACACAACAGGACGAGGCACGTTGCATGAAATGTGCACCCGATACCAGGAAAACACCCAGTACCTGCACCTGCACCTGCACCTGCACCTGCACCTGCACCTGCACCTGCACCTGCACCTGCACCTGCACCTGCACCTGCACCTGCACCTGCACCTGCGCGTGCGCGTGCCTCACCTCAATCCCATCGCCAGTGCGCGTGCCTCAAAACCCTTCAACGCGTTGGTTCCCTTGCTGATCCCATACTATCGTCCTTGCTGATCCCATACTGTCATCCTTGCTGATCCTGTACTGTCGTCCCTTTGGTTTCCAACGGAAAGCCATGTTGGCCGCGAGGCCAATGTTGTCCTCCCTTTGGTTTCCTTTGGCCCCTCCGCCTATCCACCCAGCCTCTGCATGTGGGTTTCACGTCGGATCTGGGCGGCAACAGGGTGCATGTGTCATGGTTTAAGAGGAAGACCAACCTGCATGCGGTATGTCAGCCGTGCCATGCCATGCCATGCCATGCCATGCGTTGCCATGCTCTGCCATGCCATGCCATGCCATGCCGTGCCGTGCCGTGCCGTGCCGTGCCAGGTCAGGTCAGGTCATACGATGGAAGTGGCACAGTATGTTGCTAACAGGGCGCATGTGACATGGTTCAAGAGGAAGACCAACCTGGAGGCGGTATGCCATGCCATGCCATGCCATGCCGTGCTATGCCATGTTATGTCAATGGAAGTTGTAAAGCGTGTTGGGCCAGGATGCATGTGTCAAGGTTCAAGAGGAAGACCAACCTGCAAGCGGTGTGTTGGCATGCGAACCACCTCCAAACTAAGCTACAAGTTGGAATTTTACCCATCCTCGCACCACTCCCCCCACTCTCTCTCCCCTCTCCCCGCTATCTCCCCTCTCCCCCCTCTCCCCCCACTTCCCCCTATCCCCCCTCTTCCCCCTCTCCCCCCTCTTCCCCCTATCCCCCCTCTTCCCCCTATCCCCCCCTTCCCCCTATCCCCCTCTTCCCCCTATCCCCCCCTTTCCCCGTATCCCCCTCTTCCCCCTATCCCCCCTCTTCCCCCTCTCTCCTCCCCTACTCTCTCTCCCTTCCCAAACCTCTCCTCCCTCCCTCTCCTCCCCAGGTATGGGACAACTAGATAATACCAATGGTCTCTCCTCTCCTCCCTCCCTCTCCTCCCCAGGTATGGGACAACTAGATAGTACCAATGGCCTCTCCTCTCCTCCCTCCCTCTCTTTCGTTTCAATGGCACTCGCACCACCATGCTGCGCCCCATCATGCGCCATCCCTCAAAAACAATCCCCGCACCCCTTTCCACCACTATCCGCCTCTCTCCACCCCTCTCCACCCAGGTGTGGGACGGCTTCATAATAGCCACGGCCATTCACCCGCTGCCACGGCAGCTGCACACCAGCTCGCCTCAGACTGGCGCTCCCTCATACCCGCTTGGGCCTCCTGCCCTTCCAACCACTCTCAACCCCTCTCCACACAGGTGTGGGACGGCTATATAATAGCCACGGCCATCCACCTCCGCTATAATGGCAGCCGGACCGCCATGCTGCAGGGCATCGCACACCAACTCGCGTCAGACTGGCGCCCCCTCATCCCTGCTTGGGCCTCCTGCCCTGGGGACGTCCCTTCTCTTGCTTCTGCCGCTGCTGGTTCTTCTCTTGGTGCTGCTGCTGCTGGTGCTGATGGCCACGCCTCTGCTGCTGCAGCGACCCGTTCTCCCGCTCAAGCTGCAGCCTGTCCAGCCGTGTAAGTGCCTCGCACTCCGCACTTGTGGCTTTTGAGAATTCTGTAGAAGTCTCAAAGATCGCCTCTGACATGCCTCTGCTGTCCAGCCGTGTATGTGCCTCGTACTCCACTCCTGTGCCTTTTCTCCCCTTACCTCGCTCCCTGTTTGTCCCTGCTGCTAATCAAGACAGGAACATGCCGTGTTTTACGCGCTTCAGAAAATACTAACGCATCTGAAATCCGATGTTTTGCAAATGCATCCAGAACGCGCAAGTTTCCTTGTCCTGAAAGTGACTGATTCCTCAAGGCCTCTGTGGCAACGCCTCTGTGGCAAGGCCTCTGTGGCAAGGCCTCTGTGGCAACGCCTCTGTGGCAAGGCCTATGTGGCAAGGCCTCTGTGGCAAGGTCTATGTGGCAAGGCCTTTGTAGCAAGGGTCGTTAGCCATGATAGAGATGAGCTGCGGTGTAAAAAGACTGACCATAAAAAACGCGTGTAGTAGCCGAGACCTCAGACTGTGTAGTAGCCGAGACCTCAGACTGTGTAGTAGCCGAGACCTCAGACTGTGTAGTAGCCGAGACCTCAAGGCCTTGAGGCTTCGTCTCATTGCTTCTCTTGCCCCTCTTTGCACTCTCCCTCAAGACCAGCCATGCCATGGAGAGTGCGAAGGCTGCGCAAGTGGGCCTATAAAGGTCACTGTTGAGTCGGTTCAAGACACGAGTCACCTCCTCATATCGTTTCTTCGCTCCCACACCTCTTTGCATCTCCGTGCACGACCAGCTATGCCATGGAGAGTGCAAAGGCTGCATGCAAGTGGGCCTATCGCAATGCAACACCTGGTGCCGTGCTTGGAGGTGTGTATCTGTGCATGCAAGGATGAGCAAATGCATAAAGGTATTGCAGATTGTGTATGTGGCCGAGCAAGCATATGAAAAAGCCTTGCCTCTTTTCTATTATAAACTGCTGGTTTATGCAAATCAGTGCGCATCCACTTCCTCATGCTATGCCTTCCAATCAGTGCTATGCTTATACTGCTGGTGTTTGCTGGTGCTGGTGCTGGTGCTACGGGGGGTATCGAGAGACCCGCTGGGGTTACCCTTGAGAAGATCCTCGGGGAAGGGCCACAGGTGCAGAGCCTGGGGGCTATGGGCGCACTGACCCGCTATTAACAAGCCCTTTTAACTCAGTGGTTAGTGGCTGAGTTCTAACAGGTGCTTCTTCACCCATATTATTAAATGATGCTACTTTCACAATGTCCAATCGCCACAAACCATCCTTACCCACTATTTCTCCCTCTCCCCTTCCTTAACCCTTCTTCCCATCCCTGCCTCCCAACCCCTCTCTCCCTGCACTGCACTTCTGGTGTCTCCTCCACACACACAGATGAGATGCGAATGTGATAAGGGTGTCTCCTCTGGTGTCTCCTCTTCTGGTTTCATCTCCCGCCTGCCCATTGTCGAGATGCGCATTGCCATGGGTGGGGTGCGCCTTGCTCGCATTCTCGAGATGACTTTTGATTCGTCTCTAATGCTCCTCTTCAAACTCTTGTCTGATTCCTACACCTGCAGATGACTACTTCATCTCCCGCCTGCCTGTTGTGGAGATGCGCATTGCCATGGGTGGGGTGCGCCTTGCTCGCATTCTCAACCACGTATTTGCTCGGCCAAGCGCGGTCGAGTGAAAGAGCGGCTATTGTTTTGACATGTAATGTAACGCCATCCACGAAGCTCATACTCTCAACCACATGGTTTCTTGATTGAGGGCGGTATAGTCGCTTATTATTTCAGCATTCCCCTTATAGAGTAGTGAGTCTCAGTAGAAACGTTAAGTAGAATAAGACATACAGGTTGATTTTGTGCAAGTGTTGTACCCTCTAAAAGCATGCACCTATCTAGCCTATTATAACATGTACAAATATGTTCGATACACCCCCTTGGCTAGATGAGGGGCAATGCCTAGAAATCGACACACTGCTCAGGGCAGCACTACCACTAGTCCAGCCTGTGAGGCAAGGGTCCGAAGACCAGTCAGCAAGAGTACAAGCTAAACAAGAGCAACCCAGGGCGGTACTACTAGTCCAGCCACAGGGACAGAAGACACAAGGCCAGTCAAGAGAATATAAAAGGAGTACACAATCAGGGTCCTAGCAGGAACCAAGCCTCAAGATATCAGGGTAAAATACCCTTACGACCCTTATAATAAGGGTGGGGTGGGTGTTGGACCCTTATTTTTAAAAGTGGTTTAGTTTTTTACCCTTATGAAAAAAACTAGATCTATACGGGACCCTGCTTTTTCAGAGGAGTGTAGGGACCCTGGTGCATAAAAGTGTTGTGTAAGTCCACCCCTACAGAATTACACATGTGATCCCCCGCTATAATAATTTCCCCCCTTGCCAACCTACAAATTTCGGCTAAGTCCCCCCAATCCGAGAGTCATTCCTCCTATACCCGTCGCAACCCAAGATTTCGGCTAAGTCCCCCACTGCCAAAGACATTCCTCCCTCGGCCCTCGAGCAACCCCAAAAAATTGGTTTAAGTCCCCCACTGGCAGAGACAGAGCTCCTGTAGTACCCCTCGCAACCCAAAGGGTTTCGGCTAAGTTCCCCACTAACAGAGACAGTCCTCCTGTACCCCTCGCAACCCGGAGGATTCGGCTAATTCCCCCAGTGCCAAGTGTCTTTCAGTCAGACTTGGGGGAATAACTGTTTTGAAATTACAGGGTAGCCTAGAACGAAAAGAAAGCCCTGGAGGTGACATGTCACACCTTCTCTTCCCCCTACCCATTTCGGGGAATGTCGCGCCTACGAAATATCGGCGACTTGAAATTCTGTTTTCACGAGTTTTTACCTGGCCCCTACCCGTGCACGACAGGGATTCCCGCTGTCAGTTTCTTCTGCTTATGGTTTACGTTTTTTGTTTCTTCTTCGGCTTCCACTCACCCGAGAAGTCATGGGCACTGTTACAAAACCTGCCGTCTTGAATGTTTATTTCGTGTCGGTAGTGTCGTACCCGCCACTACAGTAGTTCAAGAAATGAAATAACAAAAAAATAACCCAGAGGGGCACGATCACTCACGGTGGCATCAGCCCTAACTCCGAAAATGATTGTGTTTGGGACACCTCAACTCGCATGTTGGGCAACTATGAATAGTTCAGGCAGACCAAACACTGTTCACGCTTGGGTAGTCAGCGTATAGCGTACTTTTTTAACCAAGCCTCTGGGCTGCCCCTAAAGTTACCTAAAAGCTCACTAAATTGACAAAATTACAAGTGCCGCATAAATCACTCACAATGGGTAACTCATGTCGCGATTGGGAAGGGTCCAGGAGAAAAAGGGCGTATCCCTACAGGAAAGTATTCAGTATCAGCAAACTCGGAATTGAGTCTGAAACGCGAAAAAGTAAGGCCCGAGGGGCAAAACGCGAATTCCTGTGCGGTTCAATTTGGTATTTTGCGAGGTTTAGTTCCCTTGTACTGAACGCGCTAAAGTAGGAATACGCCCTAACCCGTGACCGCAGGAGTGAAAACTGCAAAATTACCGAGGCGCGTCATTCCCTCCACTTCAGCGTTTACAAACAAAAATCTTGGCGCACCCTGTCGAGTGTCGCACACATTAGATCTGCAACATGTCAGTCGTCCGATCACGCGAGATCCTGCAACTACAGTAAAGTGTAAGGCTGCGCTGGAGCTATACCCTTATGTGAAAAAGTATATTTTTTAGGACCCTTATATTACAAAGTAGCTTAAACAAATACCCTTACAGAAAAAGTAGCAGCAAGCGAGTACCCTTACGAGAAAGAGTACTTCTAATCCTACCAAGAGGCCTGGCAAGAACTAGACCAAGCTGTGAACAATGCCGCTGATGATCTTTAGGCGGAGCAAGTGCTTTCGTAAAGATATCAGCTGTGTTGGCACCGGAGGCCAAGTGTACTATGCGGGCCTGGCGGCGCTCCTGAAGCTCGCGCAAGAGGAAGTACCACAGCTGGATGTGCTTCGCTCTGCCCTCAAGTCGAGGCTCTTGAAACAGGAGGATCATGGCCCTGTTGTCAGCGTACATGACCGGGGCAGAGCTAGGCCGCTCACCTAAGTCAGTGAGCAAGAAAGTCAGCCAGCGGAGCTCCTGAGCCGCCATAACACCAGCGTAGATCTCAGCCTCACAGCTAGACTGTGCAACAGATGACTAGCGGGTGGACCTCCACGAGATGGCGCCTGCACCAAGGCTAAAGCAGTAGCCCTGGGAAGACCTGAGGGTCTCAGCGTTGTCTGCCCAAGGAGCGTCGGTGTGCCCAGTAAGGGCCACTAGCCTGCGTCCTCCCAGCACTAGCCCCATGCCCGATGTACATGCCACTGAAGATCTGCAGGCCAAGGTAGCGGCGCAGCTCTCCTAGGTCAGTACAGGTGTGTCTCTTCAGCAGCTCTTCCTTCATGGAGGCCAGTGCGTCTCTATCTGTAGTAGCGAAGGCCAGGTCGTCTAAGTAGACAACGATGTAGAACGGAGTCTGGTCAGCACGAACAAAGAGCGAGGGGTCTGCAGAGGATGGAAAGAACTGCAGGTCAGCTAGCGTAGCATAAAGCGTGTCATGCCACTCACGGGGCGCCTGTCGCACGCCGTAGACCGGGCGCCGAAGGAGCCACTGGGTCCCAGGAGGGAAGGTAACGATGAAGCCCTGTGGACGGCCCAGGTAGACCTGCTCGTGTAGACTGCCCTGAAGAAACGCTGTCGAGAATTCGAGAAAGTGGAGCTCGTAGTCACGCTGTGCTGCTACGTATAGCAGCGCCCAAAGAGTAGTCATCTTCGGGGTCGGGGCGAAGGTCTGAAAGAAGTCCACCCCCTCATGCTGACTGAAGCCTCTAGCTACGTAGCGCGCCTTGAACACATGCGGCTCTCTAGGAGGGCGTTTCACCTTGAAGAGCCACCGGCCATCGACTACGTTCACGCCAGGCGGGGGAACTGCGTCGACGTAGGTACCGGTGGATGTCGAAGATGCCATCTCTTGCTCCATAACAGCTATCCACTGAGAGGCCCAGGGCCCCGAGGTCGGCTCAGCGTAAGTGCGAGGGGTCGGGATGTCAAAGGCGTCTGGGATACCCTCAAGGACTAGCAACATGGAACAGAGGTGGAGAGCAGTCTCGGACAGGAAAGCAAGCTCGTACTGCCTTTCTTCTATGACGTCATTGTCAAGGGCAGGAGCACCCCCGACGGACGGAGGGCAGGCATGACCTGAAACCAGAGCTGTGGCGTAGTCAAGGCGGTAGGTAGAGGTGAAGTTAGCGACAGCAGCGACAAGAGCGTCTAGACTCGAGAGAGGAATAGACGGGTCGGTAACGAGGGAGGCAGGGACCCGAGGAACAAGAGGACGAGCAGCACGAAGGTAGTCAGGCAGAGGGGGAGGCGCGACGGCGAGCGACGACGGAGGAGGGGAAGGCAGAAGGGGAGGATGAGACGCGTGGAAATGAAGCAACATAGGGTGAGAACGCTGAACATGAGAGACAGGATGAGCACGAGAGGGACGGCGAGACCAGACGTGAGATGGAGGCATCGTGTTAGGAGACAAAAGAGGAGTAATAGGAGGGGAACGAGGTGGGAAACGGGTTGGGGACGAGTCCGGCCGAGGAAACACAGGATTGTGGACAGGAAGGGGAGGAGGTGGCGGGGGATGTGAAGGTGAGAGGCCAGGGGAGGGAAGGCCGAGCAGGCGAAGGGCGGACACCGTCGGCGATTGCTGCTGCTGCTGCTCGACGCCGACACTTGGACTGCCAACTGCACTACAGGTACCTCCGGAACACTCCAATCCAGCACCTCCAGAGCAAGCACCCCCAGAGCGCGAACCCTCTCCAGCACTGGTGCCACCCCCGAGCCCGACGGGACAAGCCACGACAGGAACCCCAGGACTAGTACCCTCCTCAACGCCAACACCCCCAGAGTCCACGAACGGCTGCTGCTACTGCGACGACGGCGATTGCTGCTGCTGCGGCTGCGACGACGGCTGTGGCGGCGACTGAGACGACAAAGGAGGGGACACCGGGGGAGGGGCCAGCAGCGAGAACTGCGCCGTGGGGCCACCAAAGTCAGCAAACTCCTCGACCGGTACAAGCGACGGGAGGGGAGTGACGTGAGACACACCAGACGGAGCAGGACGGGGAGGGAGTGGAGCAGGGGCTACGTGGGGAGTGGGGACCAAAAACAGGGGTGGGGAAACAGGGAGACCTTGGTGGGGAAAGCGACGGTAAAATGAGATAGACTCGTCAAAAGTAACGTCACGCGAGTGAAGGAAGCGGTGAGACGGCGGGTGGTACAAGTGCCAGTCAGACGAGTCAAGGGGGAAACCAAGGAAGACACATGGAAGAGAGCGGGCCATGAGCTTGTCTGTGCCAGAGACACGAACGTGAGCAAGGCATCCCCAGACATGGAACGCATATGCGTCACCAATAGACCCGGTCCAGAGAAGGGTCGCCAAAACCTGCGGCTGCTTGGAGTGGGGCCACAGGTTCAGCTGGTGCGCAGCGTAGTGAACAACGAACGGCCACAGAAAGTGGGGTGCACTTGCATGAATCATGGAGGTACAAGCCACCTCCATGACCAAGCCAATGCATCGCTCAGCGACCCCATTTTGCTATGGGGAGTCCGACAGGGTGTACGGCTGGGTGATGCCCTCCGTACGACAGAAAAGGCTAAGCAGACCGGAGGCAAACTCGCCGCCACGGTCGGAGTGGAGACACATCACGGGGAGACCTCGGCGGACTCGCGCAGCTACGATCCATGAGAAAAGAACGTCAGGCATATCAGCCTTCCGCTCTAGATGAAAAACCGTGGTGTAACGCATACAGTTGTCGACAAGCACCAGGAAGTAGAGCGTTCATTGGCCCTTCACCAAATCTGCCACGCCCCTCCAATTTCTCCCCCCACGCGCAACTC